ACCATCAAAAGAAGGAAAATTCTAAAGTCTGACAACACCAAGTGTAGATGAAAGCACTGAGCCACAGGAACACTAATGGTGGGAGAAGCAGTACCATCATTTTGAAGAGCAAATTGGTAGTATCTAGCAAAGGGGACTATTCCCACAACCCATAATCCAGCACCTCACCTCCCAGGTGCCCACATATCCTGGAGACTCCTGCACGTGTATACAGGAGACATACACAACACTGCACACTGCAGCAGTGTTTGTAACAGCAGAAATCTGAAAGCACCCTAAATATTAGCCAAGAGGAAAAGGTAATCACTGTCCAACACCATTCCTGTGCTCATGGAAATACTCTCTGAGCTGCCCAGGGCAGGAGTCACTTGCCACAGGTGCCTGCTGAGCATGTGAAGCGTGGCTAGTGTGACTGGAAGTGAATTTTTCCTTTTATTTGTCTCATTTTAACCTAAACAGCCACGTGGGGCTGCCGGCTACCTAATCAGACAGCAGAGCTACATAGCAGTGAACGTAAATGAATGAGAGCTGTATGCGTGTTTCAAGAAGTAGATCTCAAAAGCATCAGGCTGGAAGCCAGTTCCAGAAAGCAGGACCTAGCGCTGCCCTAGTGACAGCTCTGTCCGGACAGACCTAGTGTGATACTGCTCTCAGGAGTCCCCAAGACCACCAGGCCCAATGACTCACTAGGAGGCTCACAGGATTTGGTACACAGAGGCAGACATGGCCATGAGTCACCACAGTGAAAGGACACGAAGCACACTTCACAAAGGGGAAGGTGTGTGGGGTGAAGCTGGAGGAAGCCATGCGCAAGCTTCCAAGAGTCCTCTCCTCATGAAGTCACACAGGATGAGCTTCATTCCTGCAGCAGGGTTGACGGTAAGTGTAACATGCTGTCTACCAGAGAAGCTCATTATTCAGTGACCAGGAAAGAAAATTAAATTAAAATTGAATGAAGGTGAGTCACAGTGACTCACAACTGTAGTCATACTACTGGAAGGCCAAGGCAGGAGGGTCACTTGGGGCCAGGAGTTTAAGACCAGACTGGGCAACATAGCAAGACCCCCTTTTTACAAAAAGGGTTACTTGGAAGGTTGAAGTGGAAGGATCGCCGGAGCCCAGCAGGTTGATGCTGGGGTGACCATGAGTGTGCCACTGCACTCCGGCCTGGGCAACGAAGTGAGACTCCAACTAAAAAAAAAAAAAAAAATTAGCCAGGCTTAGTGGTGCATGCATATAGTCCTAGCTACTCAAGAGACTGAAGCAGGAGGATCCCTTAACCCTAGGAGTTTGAGGCTGCAGCGAGCTGACAGCACCATTACACTCCAACCTGGGCCTATTTATTTATTTTTTATTTTTGAGTTGGAGTTTCACTGTCACCCAGACTGGAGTGCAGTGGCACACTCCCAGCCACCACAGCCTCGACCTGCTGGGCTCCGGCGATCCTTCCACCTCAGCTTTCCACATAGCTGGAACTACAGGCATGCGCTACCATGCCCGGCTAATTTTTTTGATTTATTGTAGAGATGAGGTCTCGCCAAGTTGCCCGGGCGGGTCTCGAACCTGTGGGCTCAGGCGATCCACTCACCTCAGCCTCCCAAAGCGCTGGGATTACAGGCTGAGCCACCGAGCCTGGCAAGTAAGGCCCTATTTAAATGAAAAAAATCAAATGAAGACCTCCTATGTGCCAGTTTCTCTACTAAGTTCTGAAAATACAATACTGAGACGTCAATATGAGCCAGGGAGATCTCTGCTTTTAACCAGCTTTCAACCTACTGAGGGCTTACGCTATACTAAGCACAACTTAAAACCACCCTAAGGACAGATTCTGATACCTGCCACTAAGGTAGCGAAACAGGGCAGCATGATTAAGGCAGGACTGCCTGAAATGACGTGGTCTGGGAAGGTTGCTCGGAGGGACATTTGAGTTGAGCCACACACGACGACAGTCGTGTGGTCTGGGAAGGTTGCTCGGAGGGACATTTGAGTTGAGACAGTCACACAGTCATCAGGGGAAGCACATTCCAGGCAGAGGGAACAGCAAGTGCAAAGCCCGGCAGCAGGACAGGCTTGGTGTGTTGACAGACGGGACACAAAGCCAGCAGGGTTTGAAAGTGGTGAAAAGAGGCCTGGGAGGTCAGCTGAGGCCACCATGCAGGGCCTCCTAAGCCACACTAAGGCTCTTAGGTTTCATTCTAAGTAGGATAAGCCCTTGAAGGTTTTAAGCGGTGTAATGACATGATCGGGTTTACGAATGAAGACCATCCTGCCAGCTGCATGGAGAACGCGTCCCAGGCAGGGTCACTTTCTTCAGGGGTACCAAGACATAATGCTGAGGCTGGCGAGCCCTTCAAGTGTATGAAAAGGCTGGGGCCAGGGATGAGGGGAAAAAGCTCCACAATGCAAGAAGAGGACGACCAAGTTGGAACGAATAAATGTTTAATTAAACATCTAGAAAATGTGACATCATGGCAACTGCATTCAACGTTAAATTTAATCTTCATAAACAACAAAATCACATTTGGAAATAACTTGGAAATTAGAGTTTCTCGAGTCACAAAAATACCCAAGTATGCCAATGATTGCCAAGAAAACAAGCCAGTAAAAAATGTGAATTTCCTTGAAGCCAAATAATCTCTAGAGAAAAACCTTTCAATTTTGTTAACAACCAAAACATTATTTTTTACTTAATATGAGACACAGACACCACAAAACGCCCAGCACCATGAGAGAGGCCTTACGCCTCCAGGGAGGCCACAGAGGCGGCCAGGACCAGTGCCGTCCAGCCTTGCAGCCGGGGAATCCGAACACTCCAAGGGACCCTTAGACAGGCTCCTCTGAGGAAATAACATGGAATAGAGCCGGGAATGACAAGAAGGCCCCAGCCACACCAAGAGCTGGGACAAGAGGCTCTGGGTAGAGGCTCTGCACCAGGAGAGGCTTGTTGGATTTTAACACAAAGAGGATCCATTTGGCTGGTCTGAAGTGGGGCCCAGGTGGTCAATAGGAAACCAGCATCAAAGAGCCTCAAAAACAACGTTCTCATCCTGAGAGTGACCAGGTCAAATTGGTGTCTGACCTCCACTGTCCCAAAATTCAGCCACCACTGGCCACTGGGGGTCAGGAGCACAGACTATGGCCAGAGCGTGACTGAAATGAACTCTCCATTTTACTTCTCATTAAAATTAAAATGTAAAAACCCGACAGGTGAACAGAGCTCATGAAGACTTCAAAGAATGCTGGGAACAGCGGAAACAGCTAAATCCACATCTGCTGAACGGTTCTGTTTTTTGAGAGACCAGGGTCTCGCTCTGTCGCCCAGGCTGGAGTGCAGTGGCAAGATCATAGCTCACTGCAGCCTCGAACCCCTGGACTCAACCAATCCTCCTGCCTCAGTCTCCCAAAGCACTGGGATGACAGGCATGGGCCACCAGACCCAGCCTGAATCTACCTTTTCAACTGAAATTTTGTGGAAAGTAAAAAGTCAGATCAACAATTTCTGAGGAAAATGGAGACTTGCATGCCCAATGACAGATGTGCTGGGAGTGTAAAACACGAGGGATTTCGAAGCCTTCGCCCCGAGCAAAAGAAGGCAAGATATGGCGTGAGTGTGTTCTTAGGCTGGTCATATGTTGAAGCATCGGTGTGGCTACATTGGGCCGGGCACGGTGGCTCACGCCTGTAATCCCAGCACTTTGGGGGGCTGAGGTCGAGGCTGCGATGAGCCAGGATCCTGCCACTACACTCCAGCCTGGACGACAGAGTGAGCCTCCAACTCCAAAAAAAAAAAAAAAAGGGGGCTATATTAGATTAAATACAACGTTTTATTAAAAATTAATCTCACCTTTTACTTTTTGAAAATGTGGTGGCCGGCGCAGTGGCTCACGCCTGTCATCCCAACACTTGGGGAGGCTGAGGCAGAGGATCGCTTGAGCCCAGGAGTTCGAGACCAGCCGACTGTTTAAAAAAACAACAAGTGGCTGTTAGAAAATGGAAAATCCGGTACGTGGCTCGCAGCGGTTTCCCACTGGACAGCGCTGGTCGCCCGGGAAGTGGGGACTCTCCGCCACCGGGGGTCTTGCGGGCGGGGCGGAGGGAAGTTTCTGGACGTGTTATGCGGTCACGAGCCATGTCAGTGAGTCTGCAAGCCCCCCTTGATGGGCGGGAACACGCTGCCTCGGCAGGCTGGGGACAGAGTCCGAACTCGAACTCCGCGATTCACCTGGGAGCCTCCCGGCGGCCCTCGAGGGGGCGAGGGCGGGATTCGAACCAGGCCCGACCCCCGGAGTCCCGGCCCCAGCGCGCCGCGTTCCCGCCGCTCGGTCTCCCTCAGGGGAGAGCCAAACGTTCACAACGTTCACAACGGACTCCCCGGCGCTGGGCCTCTGGGGCCCAGGAACCCCTCGGAGGAGGCCCCGGCCACGCTCACCTGCCGCCAGACGCCGAGACCCAAACGCTCCTCCCTCCTCCTCACTTCCGACTCCACCGCGGCGGGGCCCGACTTCCGCTTCTCTCCGCGAATCGCCGGCCGAGCCTCCCTCCGCTCCCTCCCCCCCATCGCAGCCAACCCAGCCAATCAACTCTCAGAAAACCTGCTTTCTCCTCGCCCCACTCCCGCCTGCTAGTCGCAGAGGGCGCGAGCCCCGCCCTTCCCGTCTTCTTTAGCGAGTGCCGCGCGCCACCGCTCGGCCGTTGACGGCGCTACCCACTGCGGCATGCGCCTCCCGGAAAAGTGGGGCGAGGGGCGGGTCACGCCGGTGCGGGGGCCCTCACGATTGGTCGAGAGGAATCCCACGCTCTGACCCCGCCCACTCCCGACCTCGGCATCCGAGTCGGAGACGCTGGGGATTGGTTCCCGGCGGACACCCTGAGAAGCCTAGAGATGGTCCCGCCTCCCTCGCACGCCGCGCAGAGGGAGCTTCGCGAATTGGCCCACGGAGTCTGGGCGCGCGTCGACCGGCGCTCCAGGATTGGCTGACGGGGTGCTGGCGCCGTCGGGGAGCGTTGACGCTGATTGGTCGGAGGGTGGGGCCGGCTATTTGAAGGCTGCGCGCGGACGCGGGCGCACTTCAGTCCGCGGAGAGAGCCGGAGGTGGCGGCTGTGGTCGGTGCGGCCCCGCTGACAGCCGCTGGACCTGGACGTGGGCCCGGCCTCAGCCCCAGCCCCAGCCCCGGCTGCGGCCCGGCGAGGCGATGGCCAAGGTGTCGGTGCTGAACGTGGCGGTGCTGGAGAACCCGAGCCCTTTCCACAGCCCCTTCCGGTTCGAGATCAGCTTCGAATGCAATGAGGCCCTGGCGGACGGTGAGGTTGGGCCTGGGCGGAGACCCCCCCCAACCCCGGGCGGTCCCTGGCCTCCCCGTGGAGAACGGCTCCCCCGGCCAATTTGGTCGCCCCCCCCGAAACTCTCTAGTCCCCTCCGCCAACCCCGAACTCTCCGTGAACCCCAACCCGACCTCCAGGTGGAGTCTACTCCCTCCCACGCCCGCCAGTCCGGACCGCCCCGGGACCCTTCCCCCACTGCCCTCCCCGACCTCCCCGTGGAGACCGTCCCACCCTCCACTACTCCCATTTTCCCCACGGAGGTCTTATTTTCGATCTCTGTTTTGCCCGTGAAGCTCCGTTTTCTATGGAGAGACCTCAGTTTCATTTCTCTAATCCGCAGAGACCCTCCAACCACCTTGTTGGCAAGACCCCGCTTCAGCCACCCACTCAGTTTTCCCGTTGGAGACTGCTCACCCCTCCTCTATCCCTCCTCTCACCTCCTTTTCCCCCTTTGGACACCCTCAGTCCCCTCCCATTTTCCCCAGTGGACACCCCAGCCCTCTCCCCCAAGCTCCCTCCCTTTACCTTCCCCCACGGAAGGCCTCCCCTCCAGTTACCCTTTCTCCCTATGAAGACTCTTCTCTGTGGCAAGACTGTTCTTCACCCCCGTCTTCCCATTTGCCTCCCAACAATCTCCTCCCCCACCTGCTGATGTTAAACAACCCCCGCCACCTTCAGCTGCTACTTGTTTTCATTTCACACATGCTAGGACCTGGCTCCCCCCACCTGAGCTCCCCTTGGGGAAGGATTCCCTATCTTTGAGGGGGCTTGGATGAGCATACTCAGGGCTGAGGGCTCGTGTAGTCAGGCAGGCCTTAGCCGGTTTCCGGCTGCCTGCTGCATTCATCCTTCCTCTGCTTTTGATGGTCCCACCCAGTCCAGGGGGCGGGTGGGTGGACTGGGCTGAGCCGGGACAGGATACAGCTTGGAACAGTCATCTGGGAGGTCACAGCCTCGTGTATCTTTTCCAAGGTGCTTCTGCAGATGCATTGATTCATCTGCGACTTAGAGGCGGATGTGACTCTCATCTCACAGATGAGCAGGCAGGAAACCCAAGCGCAAGAGACCTTTCAGGTGAAGGTCTGTACATATCTAAAATCTAAGGCCACCCGGGGAACTCTGGCACCACTAAACACAAGTCTAGCTTTCGTGAAGTATTCCATTAGACCATTCTTCCACACTTGATGGTCAAAAGAGAAGAGGCAGCAGTTGAGAAGGTGGATGGAGGTCTGGGGGCCTTTGGGGCCGGGCTGTGCTAACTAGCACCTCTCTGTGTTGAGGGCGGGTGTTGGCCTGTAGAGCTGGTGGCTTGGGATTTGCTTGGGGTGGACGCAGTGAGGTGTGCATGCACTCGGGGTAGGTGAGCAGGTTGGCCCTCCCTGGCTGCTCTCGCTCCTTTTATTTTTTTATTTTTTTGAGTTGTCGCCCAGACTGGAGTGCAGTGGCTGCTCCCGGCCACCGCAGCCTCGACCTGCTGGCTCCGGCGATCCTTCCGCCTCCGCCTTC